AAGGAAGATAAGTAGTGCCCGCAGAAAAAGAGAGAATGGTGTCACCTCTCGAAGTATGGGAAGTTGAATTGCCTGCGCGGTGGAATTTGTGTTAATCATGGGGAAAAGAAGCAAGGCGGTAGAGGTGCTTGCCACACAAAATGCTGGACACAGCAGGTATGCTATTCAACCTAGCTCTAGAATCCTGGTATGGGTTGAAAGCGACAAAAGACCTGAGACAGTATTCTTTCCCCATAGTTTTCCTCGGACTCACGTCAGAAGGTTGACTGAGCCGTTGCAAGAGTGGTTCAAGTCCATTGAGAACGATGGGCATATGTTCACGCCCAATTCGAAGTTCGACCATCTCTTCATCCCTACTTTTCTCGTTTACAAACGTCATTGGTCTTTTATTACCGATAACTAAAGCAGAGCGTTGCCTAATTCTTTAGTTGTGATGAGCGAGTGTCTGAGGACGGTGCTCAAGATCTCGTCTCGTGTTGGATGCATTGGCTCCAACATGATCACTAGGATGCCATTCTCCTGTCGCTGTAGTAGCTGATCAGTATCGAGATTGAAAGGTATTGGCCCTCTCACACGTAACAACGACTCCCAGAGAGTGACAGAAATTCGCTTGCCATACAACGTGATACATCATGCCATGTGAATGATTCATGTTTCTTGTGCCAAAGATACGGCAATACAGCTTTGGAAATATCTCAGGCATGGCACCTAGGCAACCCAGACAACGCTGGCGCCGGCGACTAATCATAGCATGTCCAGCCAACATGCCTCTTATGCAACTGAGGCCGGTGTACTAGTCAAGAAGAAAAGTTTCCATCGCCTCATCTCCATCCCTGACTACGCCGGATGCCTCGTTCTCGGCCGATTCGAGGCCCGAGACTTGGAGAGATCCATCGGTGGGCCAAGTAGGTGCAGAGGCGATCGAGGATGTAGGGAATGGAACCTTAACAGTGGAGTACAGCGCTCAGTGGGCCCAAGTCCAAAAGTGGTTAGACAAAGAGCTATCCTCCAATCACAAAGCATCCTTGCCTTCCAGCGAGCCACCGAGGGACGTCGAGCAATAGCGCACTATCTAAGTGAAAGGTGGCTTCCACTCTCAAGCCCGCCTTCCTACCCGGAAAGGGGGGTGCGCACGGCAGAGATCTATTCTACTGTTGTTCTGGGAGGGAATATTCCTAGATAGTCACTCTGTTGTCTTGATTATCTTCGCTGCAGTAGTCTAAGTCGTCAATACGTATGCAAACATGCCCGGTTTTCTTTTTTCTCTTTGATGTGGGCTATTGGTCATGAACTCCTCTGACCTTCGATATCTCCGCTGGAATCTCATTTCTGACTAAAGAAGGCTATGCCTCTGGAGTATCGGGCCAAGATGTAAGATGGAAGAGCGCACCTGCCGTGAAATTAACATCAACACTGTAGTATCTAGGTAGGTGGAAGGTACCTTAATAAGGTACCTTAGGTGGCCTACGATCGATTACGAAATGTACCTACCTATATCCAGCAAGAGAAACGGCTTCTTCCCTGCGTTGATAGCTTCCATTGACGAAGGCCACGATTTTACCTTGCTTCAATCACACTCTATTCTTCTACTTCTACTTCAACAACACATCCCGCACTCGGAAATTACGCTTTCAGTTCGAGAACCCAACCATTAAACCAAAGCTATTGATCAGAATCCAGCCGACAGAAAAGTAAGCGTTGAAATCCTTACGCTATTGTTGAACCATACCATCGTCACATCTAAATGATCAGAATGGCCTGAAACAACAGACCCCTCGACGTCCAAGCTTTCCACAACCTCGCTGGGCCTCCTCGAGAGCACAGAAAGCTTCTGACGTTGACCAATGTCGATTTCGCTGTCGATCGCGACACAGTAGAGACAACTGTCAGGCCTCTTGTCGCGCGCGCAGCTACTAGCGACGGTGTTTCTCACTGGACCTCTTCAAAGCCGAGGTTTCGAGCACGAAGGCATGACGCAGACAGGCCCAGTTGCGAGCGCCACGTGTGAGGCTCTGCCATGGCACTCGAAGTACTCCCGCCCGGGTTTGAACTTTCCGGTCCAATGGTAACTGTGGAGAGATCGAGAATAATACGACCATTGAATGTAAGTGTACATCGATCTAATTGTCTCTCTTCCATGCTAACCAATACACAACGTCAGCTACAGGGTCGATCTGCCGCTACCACAAACCCTACTTTCGCCGCCGTTGTCAACCCTCACTCTCGCCGTCGTCGTTATCCCTACTCCTGCCGCGGCCACCAAACCTAGTCACCACGGATGCTACTCTCATTGAGTTACCCATGCATCCTGGCGCACGACGTTGACAAGACTCCAGCCCACCGGGAGAAGGAGGAGGGCGCACTGCCTGTTGAGAGTGTCAACCATACTTACGAGGTATTTGACCATGATTGTGACTTAGTAAGACGATTGAGCAACAGCGGCACGACTCTTACAGTATCCTCATCTACATTCTACTCGAGCTCATACCCTGCTTCATTTCCCTCCCCCAAGGGGTGATCCCTTCTTCACCTCCAACCTCCTTAGCGGTAATCACCTTCTTCCCTCTTTCCATAATGGGCTATGTCCATCTTCAATGATGAAAAACCTCCATCTTACGCTGGGACTACTTCCTTAGATCTCGGTCTCAAAGATCGCTTTGGCAGCTCTACGGAGTGTAGGTTCGATTCCTATAGCGATCACTAGAGAAGCAGCAGGACAACCACCAGGTAGATTTCTGACACTATTTTATAATATGACCCAAACACCACTACTTAGTAGGGAAATGATTTCAGGCGGGGAGTTGTCTCTGTCTTCGATTCTTGGGCGGCGATGTGCTTGATGACAGCAGCGGAGAGCTTGTTTTGCGGTTCAACCCGACCGCCGAAAAGGGCTTATCAATTCACTGCATGGGGCCCTTTCCGATGAAGTAACGATGGCAGTTGTCATTGCCGAGGAAAGACACATATTTGGGCGCCACGGGTGTATGTTCCCAACAAGAAAGAGCTTTGAGCAGTGTGCCGATAAGAGCTCTTCAGGAGGCTAGCAGAGGGTTCACGCCTCTTCTTTCACTGCACCTCTTGTTGACTTCCCCGAAGCATCTCTCTAACAGTCCTCTGTGCCTCTCAACGACTTGCCTGGCCGTGGTGCTATTTTAGCCATCAAAATTTCGGCCAGCCTGTCCAAATCTCGATAGACATCCCCGATTGGCGAGACTTGTTGTCTTGATCGTTCTTCACATGTTCTCTCTCACATGCCCGCTTTGGGAACGGATGGCAGACGGAGCATATGTCTCATAGCACCGATGGTGTTCAGGCGGGAGCCGCTAGTTATCCGCTTGGGCAATTGGAACAAATAAGCACAAGGCAAACAACGCACACGGCAACGAAGAAGACCGGAGAGTCGCGTATTAACTACTGATTTCGAAATCAATTGAGGTATGGGGCCGTTTCCCCATCTCAACCTGACCTAGAGAAAAACGCACAGGCCCGAGGCTGAAGCCTGCTTTCAGGCGGTGGTCTTGTCTAATTAGCAAATGCGAGAGAGGACTAGTGCAGCATACCTTGGTCGAAAACTAGTCCGCGATGGCCTAAGGGCGTCAGACTCACACGCCGGATAGTCCCCGATCAACACGCTAACAACGGGAAACCCGACTTTCAACGGCAAGGTCTGATGCTTATGGCACTCTCGGTTCCAGAGAGGAAGGATCCGATCTTCAACTTCGGCGCCCTCTTGAGAGGGAACAAGACCCCACTAGCCCATTTATCAAGGTTCGTCATATGTTCTTCGAGAAGACCCTAGATCTAGGCAACAGTATTGCCATAGCTTTCAGACTTGCACGACAGCCGCCAATCCCTGTTCAGTCTTATCCATTTGATGGCGCTTCCAGCGAGTCTTTTGTGCTCTAGTTTGGCTAGACTCCGTGGTGAAGTATCTTCGAAGGACCGAATCATCTGCTATTCCTGGGACGTCTTATCCTCCCTGCGCAACAACACTTTGTCCCAGCTTCTATTCTTCTGCCATGTCTTTGTCTCCACGCCTCCCCCGCTATTCTCTTCCTGCTCACCCTTGGTGCAGCAGTTCCAGTGGCTTTCGTCCCTCTCTTTCCGCCCACGCTAAATGCACTCTTGTTATTCAGCTTTGGCAAGCCACCATGGTCTATCTCTTCTGCGATTGGCCTGGTTGGACCCCAGATGCCTGGCTAGCCCATCCTCCCAGAAACCTAAGCTCATTAGCTAGTCTAGGGCTGAGCAATTCGCGGATCTGCTCTTGAAGTCAACCCAAGCATGAACCGGTCCCGGGCGGTGCTTACACCTCATAGCTCACTATCAAGACAACTCGTACCTTGGGTCAGTGCCCCGAGGGCGCCCTTTGTGGAACAACAACGATGGAAACAGATACAGGAATACAACGAGGGTTAGGTTTATAAACATGGCGTTCAGCCCATCCGCTCTACGGGCCACGCTCCTCTTCTCTTCTGTCTTGTTTGGTCACCCTTGGGTCAACTTGACGCACAACACTGTTGATCAAGTCCTCGCCAGTCTCACTGACACTATTCAAAGTTGAATCATCATGGTGAACACATTCAAGTCCATCACTGGCTTGGCGGCTCTCTCAAGCGTTGCCTATGCCAAGATCTACGAACTCCCCCAGGCTACCACTTCATTCAACTTTCCTCTCGACCAATTCAGCCCTCAGCCGACCAAAGCCCCCGCTTACGCTGAATTGAGAAAAAGGCAATCATCAACAACGACCACAGTTCTCGTTGCGCCAGATAACACTTGCGGATACATCTCTGGGCGTGCCGGGGCGGCATACACATGCGGGACCGCCGCCAGCTGCATCTTCTTCACATCGGTGAACAGAAATACCCCCGGCCGAGTTGCCTGTTGTGACGCCAGTGATTGTGGTGCCCGGCGGACATGCTACGATTCTAAACAGGTCTCGTCGTCTAGTCTCTGTGATGGTGGCTGTCTTGTTGATCGCTTCACTTTGAAATGGTATGTATGATCTCGAGGCTGGCTCTTTCTCCAGACGTGATAAGTACTCGAGAAGACTAACATCGCGTTTCAGTACCAATACTGCTCGGCCATACTGCAACACCATTTCCTTTGCAGACGGCATCTTTGACTACTGGTGCAATACGGCAGATATCTCGACCCCGCAAGCCGCGACGACCACTTACGCCGGCGGACCAGCGCGCAACTGGACACCGCTAGCCCTGACAGACGATACGACATCCAGCAGTGTCATCCGACCAGCCAGCTCCGGAGTCATCACAGGCACCGCCAGCGGTTCTGTATCCGCGCCCTCTATCACTACTTCTCCCGACAATGACAATAATGGCGGGATCAACAACAATAACAACAGCAAGTCCTCAACCCCCGTCGGTGCCATCGTCGGAGGCGTCATCGGTGGCATCGCCGTCCTCGCACTCATCGGCTTTGGAATCTTCTTTATTCTCCGCAAGAAGAAGAAGACGCAGCAACCCCAACCCGGACCCGGATCACAGGGTCAACCTCCGATGATGAGCCAGCAGCAGCAGCAGCATCAACCACCCCCAATGGGCTACGCTCCAGCGCCCCAAGGCTCGCCGGCACCGTATGGCGCCCAAACGCAGACGCAATCCTACTACGAGCCAAAGTACGACGGCCAGGGCGGATACCCGCAACAAAACTACGGCAGCACGCCACCTCCTCCTCCTCAACAGGGCGGCGGCTACCAGCAACCCTACTACAACGGTAATATGGCGGTTCCCGATCGTGCGGACACGACGAGCCCCAGTGCCATGTCTCAGGGAACGCACAGCAACCGCCTCAGCACGCGACCCGTCAGCCCGAACCATACGCAAGGTGGCTTCCAGCAATTTGGCGGCGGTGGTGGGCAGCCGCAGCCGACTATTCACGAGGCACCTGCTAGTGGTGATGGACACAAGGGGCAGATGCACGAGCTTGCGTAGTTGCATTTGTGCGGCGGTGAATGCTTCTGTCGATCTTGATCGTCGCTGTTACGACATGAGGCGTGTATGTTTCTGTGTATAATTTCGTGTGCTCTATCTGGGAATGCTTTCTCTTCCTGGAGCGGTGAGGTGGTTCGCTACACAGAGATTGAAGCGACTACCCGATTGCCGTGGTAGGGAATCTGGTGTGTCGGGGTTGTACTAGACTTGTGCTGTGTGATTTATACTCTAATGAAGATTGATGTCTTACAAAGAGATACAGGTATGAACTTATTGATTTTTAACTGGGAAATAATGGACTTCTTGGTAGGTTGGCTCATCCTCTTGTCTTCTTTGATTCTGAGATGATATGAAAAGAATTGATCCTATCACACTGAAGGGACGTTCCACCGTGGTCCACAAAGTTTCAAAACGTGTAAATATCGTACCCGACACGCAGCAGGCACAGCAGGTAGAGCAGTTTTGTGCGACGTTTGTAAACCAATATACCAAGGAGTGTACCAAGAGTCGGCAACAAAACAGGGTTCCGGTCAAAGGTTAGGTATTACCTTCCTTTTAACAACCACCTCCGCTATAACCCCTCTCTCTTTCTATATAATAAGTACCTCTACTATCATCTCTTTCCCCTCCCTTGTAATAACTACCTCTACCGTCATCTCTCTCCCCTTCCTTGTAAAAACTACCTCTATCATTGCCCCTCTCCCACGTTTCCCATGGTATATTCTATGAAGAATACATGCTTGGTAGGGTGAGATACCCTATGATAGCACTTCTCGGACCTAGACTTCGCTAGAAAATGTTATTGAGTAGCGTAAAGATATCACAGGCATGTTCCCTAGAGGCGATATCTGCGCCTTTGTACGTCAATCAACCCAAAATGATTGGTTGATATACCATACTTTGAGGATCGGCCGACTACCAAATAAGGGAGATGGATGATATAGAAATAGTAAAATGTCCAGAAGTCACTTTGATCGCGCGAGAAGTAGTCTCGGGGCTTGGAAACACAATCTAGATTTCTTCCCTGCTTCGCGTGCTATGTATCCGAGGGGATCAAATCCTATGTACGCACTTCAATATGTGAGTACCGAAAAACGTACTGGCCGAAAGACCTTACTCTGCTGACGTGTATACCAACACAGACCAGCTCAAGACACGCAGTAGATTCCACAGCATTTCCACGTGCTACGGGGCATTCACGGTCCCACGATGCTTCTGCCCATCCACCCATCCACCCATCCGGGCCAACACTAATAGTCAATCAGTCGCAGCTTTTTCCCAATCTCCCTCCGGCGCGCCTGTACCGCCGCGCGTTCAGAGGGCTTCGTCTCCCCGGGGTCCATGTTCTCTCCGCGAGCCTTGAGTGCTTGGAGAAGCATGCCTGCGTCAAAGAAGCCGTCTAATCACATTAAGTATCAGCAAAAGTCATTGAAAGTAAAATGGAAACGGAATGAAAAAGAGCAACTTACATCCTCCAAGCTCATCATCCTCGCTGAGTGTAACACTCTCCTCCGTAGGCGACTGCGTGCCCGTCGAAGACCTCGCGACAGAGGGCTTGATGGCGTCGTGCGCGGTGATGAGGCGGCCGCGCGACTTGATCCCCTTGGGCGGCTTCGGCCTCGCCTGAAGATCGAGCTCGCGTGCGCGGGTCTGCTTGGCGGCGCCCATGCCCGCGCCGCCGGTGCCGCGGCGGGACGTGATGCGGAGGATGCGCCGCACCTCGAGGAGGTAGCTCTCGAGCGTGTCGACGAAGCGCTTCGTCTGGCGGTGCTTGCTCGACACGCAGATGGAGATGCTCTCGTCCTTGATGATGTACCCGATGCCGAAGCCGTCGCCCGACGTGGGGCCGAAGCCGAATTGGCGTAATGAGGGGTTGCCGCAGTTGGATGTTGACATGATTGTGTTGTTGAGCTTGTCCCAGCCCGAGTCGGCGAAGATCTGTGGCATCGAGGCCTGGTTGTTGCCGTTGCGCGAGTTTGTGCTGTCACCGCGAGCGCGGCCTGTAGAAGAGGACTGCAGCTCGGCGCCGTTGAGGGAGAGGACCGAGTCCCGGCCGGGGCTTCCGACGGCGGACTCGCTGACGTCCTGCTCGGAGAGGGCGTCGATGGGGCTCGAGTAGCCGTTGGAGCTGCCAGAGAGCTCGTCGTCCATAGAGCGCTGCCAGGTGCAGAAGAGGGCGTAGAGGTGGCGGTCGCAGCCCTCTGCCTTGGCGCACTCGCGGGTGCTATTGACATGTCGCTGACATGCCTTGCGCAGGGCCTCAACCTTGTGCTCGGCTGGGTTGTCGGCCCAGAACGTCTGGACAAAGTTGACTGACTCGTCCGAGACGCTGCGGATGGCCTCGGTGCGGCCATGGAGGAAGATCTTGGTCATAGCGGGTTCGTAGGTGCACTCGACGCGGCCGTAAAGCCCGTAGTAGGCAGCCTGGAAGGCCATCTGCACAAAGGCATCGGGAGAGAAGCCCATCGAGGTCATGAAATTCTTGCCGTAGTGCTTAAAGTCGAGCGTCTTGAACTCATTTTGCTCAATGAGGTCTGCGAGACGGGTCTCTGCAAAACGGACGGCGACGCTGAGCTCCGGATTCATGTCCCACTCGAGCTTGTGCGGTGTTGTGTTGACCTCGCCGAAGCTGTCCGGGTCGCGCTTCGCCGGGTCCGGACTGGTGGTGGCCCAGAGGGTCGGGGCTTGACCGTTGATAGTCCGGGCGAAGCGGAGGATGGTGTCCGTGTACACGTCGCTGGCGAAACGCAGTACCGTGTGACCGTCGACACCGGTGTGCTCAAAGTTGATTCCGGCGCTACCGTTCTTGCATACAATGATTTGCAACTTGTCATACCATCTGTTGGTGCAGGTCCCGATTTGCACACCCTTCTCGACCAAGCTGGTGCCGCACAGCATGTTACCACAAAGAGCGTCGGCGTCAACCGGCTCGGTGTAGTCGAGACACAGAACGAAAAGGGCCGAATCCACAATGCCCAGGCAGTCGGCGTTGTTTGAACCTTCCTCCCGGGTCAGGACATCCCTCAGTCCCGACCAGATCTTCCGGTTCTCCGTGCTGAGAACGCCAAGGGCCCCCTTGGCCGCATCCTGAATCGGTGTTTGGGCAGCATCGTCGATGATGGTCTGCAGGTTGATTGACACATCTTTCTCGCTCATGATGAGATCATGGTTGTCGTCCAAAACGTCGAACCAGTAGAACTGGCCGTGGCACATGACAATGATGTGCTTTGACTCCGGGTCCTGCTCGATTTGGCATCCATTTTCCGTGGGTACACGTGCTGTTCCAAAGAGCCTAGAGTATTGGTACATGCAAAGAGGCTGGCCTTTAACCGTATCTGGAGGCAATTCCTCCTTGCGGACTGCTCTCACAAACTCCAGGGCTGACACCACGAGCGATGCCGCTCGGGTCACTTGGTTGTTTCTGGCAGGAGTGGGATCATCTTCCAGCAGGAAAAACGGGTTGAGATTAAGGACAACCGGGTTATCAAAGTTTAGGTATGAATCATACCCTTGAAGATAGTTTGTCAGTCAAGAATTGAGACGTGGGGTGTAAGTGTACTTACAAAATTGTTCAATATAACTCGTCTTGTCCTGAGCGTACGTCTTCAGCTTTTCCTGCAAAGCTGGGCCATCGTGCTTCAGGAAGTCCTGTAGCGCCTGCTTGGTCTCTGAATGTTCTCGTGCAGACTGTAACGGCTTGAGAGCAGTGAGATACTTTTGGGCGGTAGCTTCCAACTCGGGGATAGGCAGATGCTTGAGCTTTTCCTGGGCAGCGAATGTGACACCGCCCTCGACGGACTTGTCTGTGTATACTGCCATAGAGCGGGTGGCTTCTGTGCTCTGCTTCGGTTTTGACGGTTCGACTTGTTTCCAAAGATCTGACGTGTCTGGAATAGAACGGGGAACCGAGGAAGGAGGAATGGCCTTTTCGAGAGTCTCACCAAGGGGCCTGGGTCGCGAGAAGATTCTGACTTGAGTGGGCATGGTTATTAGCGGAGGGTGACTCCTTTTCTTATGCGTAGAGAGGCGAGACGTTGGTGCTGATGTTCAATCCGCGCAGCGCCGTGCGGTAGAAGTAGTGGCAGTCTTGGAAGCAAAAAGGTGGCATTACACTAGATAATGCTACAACATCTGGACGACTGAGGATGGTGTAGTAGATAGGGAGGGAGGGAAGAGAGAAAAGAGGAGACAGCTCGGCTACGGGAAGGGGAATGGACTAGGGATATATCAACGGGCCTAAGGAAGTTCGGAGGAGAGAGGGAGAGGCTGACAAAGTGAAAGTGAAGTCAGGGTGGTAGGCACTAGCATACTGAGAGAGAGGCGCATCTGTAGGGCGGATGAAATAGGTACGAAGTACAGACGAGATGGGATCAAGTGGAACCCCCCACAAAGACGACTGGGATGGGGCTAGCATGCAGATACCCAGTTCACTCTGGGGTCCCGGGGTCTCATCTCGAGGAAACAGGACGCCCTTTCACATGTGGAACAGAGGTCTCGAGGCATCGCACCGCAAGGCCGGACGCAAGCGCTTGATTGGGTTGGCAGAAGACAGGAAATGGGGAGTGGACGGGCACTTCGGGAAATCCGCGCTGGCTGGGTCAGGCCCTGGGAGGCAGAGGGGAGCTTGGCTTGTGAAACTCGCTCCGCAGGCCCGACGCGAAATGATAATATGGGTGCGGCCAGTTTCGTAATCTGCCGAGACTTTATGGATAAAAGACGAAGCAAGACAGGGGAAAGGAAAGCAATGTTACCTACCGGCGCAGTCGAACCAGTTGTTTGCGGCCGCTGGTTATCTTTTTAGATGAAGATGTTGAACGTAGTTGGGGCAAAGATTGCCGGTGAGATTGATGTCTATCAAGTTGAACTTGGCTTCTGTACAGTAACTTAGTTAGACATGGTAGGCTCTTTGGTCAAGACACGCTGCCTAGCCGTACTCGTTGAAGGCATCCGTCAGATGCACCTGTCTAGCACGAGGACAAGCAGGGACACAGAGGCACAGG